CTGCCCCGACCGTGTGCGGCTGCAGCTGCTCGAGGGGCCGCACACGGACGGACACGGTCTGTGTGAACACAGCCGCACCGGGACACCGGCTTCCGGCTGTGCTTCTACGGACTTCCAGTTCCAAGGGGAACACAGCACTCAGTGCCCTAACCCGGGGGCAGAGGGACTACACGGACATCCCTCTGGAAATACACAGCTCTGTGACTTGGCTTCTCACACCTAGGATCTCTCCCCATGACAGGCCGTGCCAGGGAAGCAGAGCACTCCCAAAACCATTCCCCTCACACCCAGGATCTCTCCCTGTTACAGGCCGTGCAGTGAATGAAGCAGAGCACTCCCAAGACCATTCTGCGCACACCCAGGATCTCCTCCCAGCAATAGGCTGTGCCCATTAAGCAGAGCACTCCCAAAACCATTCCCAGCTCCCCTTTCGTGATTGAAATCACATTTATACCATTTTCTGAAGTTTCTCTTTAGTTTGTATTTAGCTATTCAACAGTTACAATAGACACTGGAGAGAGTTCATTTTAAAACAGTAAACTTTTAAAACATTAACACAGGTTTTAGCTTTTCAAAGAAAACAGTTTTAAAAAAGGAGGGAGAGGTCATAGAAAAGCACAAACAATTCAGGCTTATTTACAGAGACAAACCTATAGCATATTCAGAGTGATTCTGTATACAGACAACATTCATGAACCAAACGTGCTACATGGCTCCATGACAACAGCAGTTTCCAGAACAACCAGTTGTTCAGGTAACACACACCTGCACTCATCTCCTAAAACCTCAGTGCAATGAGTTCACACTACAGCTACATAACTGAACTACTAATTTATATATTCCAGACCCCCATTCAACAATCTGGTACACACAGCCAAAAGAAGCAAACAGTCACTGAGACAAAGGAACCACTTTCTGCCCCAGTTGTGGGTGTGAACCTCAGCCATGGCCTTTCGTACTCAGCTAATTATTCCCCTTTCACAAGGATCAGTAGTAACAAGCCTCCAAAAAGCACAAGCCTCCAGAACTGCCTTTCACACCTGCTGTAGCCACAATTAATGGTCAGTGAAACTAGCACAGCAACAATTCTATCACACATTATAACTCTGCTGTTGGGGTATTTATTCACAGGGCCTCTTAGTTTGATGAAGACACTTAACAAGCTCTGTACAGCAAAGGAGAGGATGTTTCATTCAGGATCAGCTGCAGAACCCTACTCAGCACAGCAACAGACAAACCCACAGCAGTTTCTAGAGTGACACTCTCACTTCATCAGGGAGCCAATAAAAAAAAAAAAGCCAGTGAGCAATACAACTTCTAAGGTCTTAATTACACATTAATTCTCAAAACTGTTCCCAAGGAAACCTTTAACTCAAGTGAACAGCCATTATGTCTTCATTCATTTTTCTTTTCCTTGTGCTTTAGAAGTTTGTTGATCTCCCTTTTAGCCATTCCAATGTACTTTGTGATGATCCCATGCTGGTTTAGTCCAGGAAACAGCAACAAGAAACTTACTAGAGAGGGAAAATACAAAAGAATTAATACGTCTTGCTTCTGACACTGTAATTTGCTTCCCCTAAGCCCCGTTTACTGTTTAGAAAGAGAAAAACATAACCCTGCAACAAAAACACCACACTTACTTAATCAAAAATTACTCCTACCAGCCTCACTCTATTTCAGGCAGCTAACAAAGAAGCTCCCTGTGCCTTGCATGCTCATACTTACCAATCAGGTAAGTCAGGAAGAGATTGTGAACCTGCTGTCCAATCCAGGCAACCAAGGCAAGAGTAAAAAGCATGGTCATGAAGTACTGAAAAATGAAAAGGGAAGAGTTACCAAAGACCTGTTGAGGATTCTCCCCATTCCCTTCAGCATTTAACAACACTTCAACATTTGAATCTAACTTGAAGTCTTCTGGCTCTTCCAAATGCCATACCTATGTTAGAACTGAGATTACAGCACCTGTCATTGTGTGTTCTCATTTATTTTCAGACCATCAGGAAGTCAGTTCAGACAGGATGCCAATTCTTTTTTGCCCAGATAGCCCTCAGGCTAGGCCATCCCCACGGGCACCACTTCAGCCTCACGAGGCACCCACAGCTGGTTTGGGGTCAGTAGCTCAGCAGTTCATGTGCCTAAGCTGACACTACTAAGATAAAGCTTTTTGTGTACACTGAAAACAACTGGTTTCCAAAAATTTACCTATCCAGAGAAATCCAGTCTAGCTGTATGTTATTATCAAGGGCACACTCCTAATTGCATAGATCTGCAAGTTTAAAGTCTTATATGTTCCCACTCCAGGTTTGAGTAAATGTGTAACTAATGTCAAGTCACAGCCAGAACTGCCAGTGCTTGGTTCAAATACCAGTTCATTCAGGCATGTGTCTTGCTGAAACTCTTCAAAGCAAAACCAAACAAAGTCTTAGGACCATAGAGATGAACTCCTAGAACTCAATACCATTTTAGGCTTTTCCTCCTTCAGGGTGAAGAGGCGTTTCCACCAGCCAACAATGCGGCGACGAGACTTCACCAAATTGCTGCAGATCTCATGAAATCTCTGCTGCTGTTCTGTAGTCCTTTTGGTAAGGGAAAAAAAATAAAATTTCAGGGTTTCATCTGAAATTAAAAAGAACTCCATATGGCTTTTTTCCAGCAGTAAAAAAAGAATCCTATGCCTACCCCGGCATCTGCTTCAGTTAGCTTTATACATATTTATCGAGCTCTGTAATGCAACTGCCCATGGGATTTGCCGGTGTGCTGACTCTGAAACTGACTCCCCAAACAGCAACCCCAGCCAAACCAGACCATCGATCTTAACCTGACACCAGTGGGAGACACACAAGTAATACACAGCTGAGATCAATGTCTATGACTTTGGCTTTTGTATTAGTTCATTACTACACAAGGACATTTGTCCACTAGATATCTTATAGCAGATGCACTAACACCTACTTTTAACTCAAAATTTGGTTCAAATTAGGTTGTTCTCCTATACAAGCCTTGCCCTACAGTCATATTCACACTCTGCATTAGTCTCCATCACATTTCTTACTGCCTCTTTCCAAACATCAACAACACTCTTCTACATAATTTCAGTTCTCAGTATCTATTATCCATTAATTACTAAAAACTCGTTTAGCAGAACTAATCCACATCCTTAATGGAGAGCAAAGAACTTCCCTACTCCTTCAAAAACCAATCTTATTTCTCCAGAAGGAACAATAAGGGTATGTTGTAGCAGGTATCTTCCAGAAAAAGCAGCATGAAGAACATCTTACTACTGTCCTCACTTCATGCATCAGAGACTGATGATTTCTCACTACAATGACTCCATAAATAATCATTTTATACTTGCAGAAAGTTCATCATTTATTTACACTCAATAAAGTGGTTTAATTCAAGTTTCCATCACCATTTATTAGAGCCGAAGATCCGAGGTGCAAGAGCAGGAACAAGGTAATCAGCCAAACAGAGGAACATAACGAAACAGGAGACACCTGAAAGAACTGATGGGTCCAAGTAGTAGATCATCCTGGAAAGAAAAGATAACAAGTTATTTCTGGATGCTCAGACTCCTGAATACTAGCCATACTTGGTCACTTCTTCAGACTAGCACATAGCAGACCTATCCTCCTGCCCAAGCTCAAACAAATTACAGATTTGCTCATATTACTGATAAAAAGAGGTCAAGGACTTCAACATTATTACAAAGAAAGAAATCCAGGTAAAATTACATTTTTCTTACTGTACTGGATAAGAAAATGCTACAATACAGTAACCATGGTATGAAGTTCAGTAGAAGTCAAAATTCATCATTATTGCTCTCTCAGAAGTTGAGACCTAGTGAACTTAACGCTGACCAAGGGATGAGGATGAGCAAGTGAACACCTGAAATAACCAGGCAGAGCAAAAACTCTAATTTTGTTGGTTCTTAAGCCACAGAATTTAGATCCAGTACAGGCTGTTATTTGCTCCGGCTCACCTGTGAGAGCCAGACAAACCTGTTCTGGATAAGGAGCCATAAATCTCCACTTAGGAGAGTGCTGCATTTTCCATACTCAATATGCCATCCCTCAAACACAGCAGAAGGGCAACTGGACAAAAACCAGCTCATCTCCTAAGGGTCAAAATAACACCCAGCTGAGCCCTGCACTACATAACTACACTTCACAGAACTTCGTGGACACTGAAGCAATAAAAGCAAAGAAATAACACAGTCATTTCTTTGTCAACAGGGCCAGCTGACCTGTACATCTGCACAGTGCTACTGAGCTCAGTGTTTCAGTTCAGTTTGATGAAGGACCAGTTCAGAATCTGAAGTAGTTCTGCATTTCCTCAAAGTATTATTCAACACAAGATCTTTCATGCTATAATCACAGAATTTATAACAAAATACCCTAAAGTTCATGCAGTTGCTTTTAAAAGTTACTTTTCAGTTTCATTTGATTTCCACCCTCCTCACCTCCCCTGAAGACCACACAATTGATATTAGCCAGGAGACTGATTATTCTCATCTGGTTCAACATTTATTACTGTAATTCCTCTTCTCCTTACTGCAAAAACAGATCCAACTGGCAACTGCACAGCTGGCACAGACACTTATCTGTACAAGACAGGTTAGGTCATCCTGACTTCTACCATGATACATAAAGGCACATACAAGTGCCTCTAGTGAGCACCTCCAATCCAGACAGGAAACATACCTCCACCCTGTGGACTGAAAGTTACCTTCAAGGTCTTCCTTTTCCTCTTTTCTCAAAGGAGAAGACACAGAATGTAAAAAAAAAACAACCAAATTGTGCAAACCCAACTGAACTCATCCTAAACATCACAGCAAAGACGCAGAATAGGAAATTTTGCCCTATGGGAACATGTTTTCTATAATGATACTGCTGTTGGTTGGTGGGAGGGAAGCCAAGGGGTATCATCAGATTTGACTAAGAAGCAGGATACAAAGCATGAGGGCAAAACATGAGCACAACACTGAAGAACATTCAGCTGAGCACAGTAAAAACTCCATCAACCATTACTGGCAATCAGGTTTTGCGGAAAGCACTGTCCCTCCTCTGAGCAGGATGTGACTCGTGTTGCTTCCTGTTTTCAACACTTCTGGTTTTTCTTTCTAACAAAGTTCACACACTTTAAGAAACAGAACCTGGCATAAAACCTTTCCTGTCAGATTTCTCTAGATGTCTTACTAATTTTCTTAATAGGTTTGCTACCAGCCACAAGGCTGCAGTGATGTTCCAGGCTCCCTCCAGAAGGTACTTACAGGAAAGAAAAGGAAACAACACTCATCAGTGCCAGGGGAAACCAGGCTCGCTCCCAGCGCAGAACCTTATCCGTCATCAAAATCACTTCTCCCCATCCTTGCAATTGCTCCTCCAAGCTGGCAGTTTCAGAAGCCTGTACAAAAAGAGATGAAAACTCCTTTACTAACCTGAGTATCAAATTAATTCCCACACTGAAGCAGCTAAAAAAACCCCAGTGCAATAATTAAAGATCCTAGTCATAAAGCTTCCTGAGTAATTAAATGACTAATAATGTGAGTTTTGCACTAAGTTATGACATTGGAGCAGCGATACTTTAAAAATAAAGATCCTAACAAAGCACATGTTAATAGACCAAATGACACCTCCCCTCAGGTTTAGCCAGGGTGTTTTCCTCTAATCTCCTATTTACCATACTCCCTCCCCCCAGATTAGTAGAAAGTCAAGTTCTCACACCCAGCTAAAGGCTCCCAAGTTTTCAGTGTCAACATCTGGAAAACTGGAATGTGACAACCACATAAAATAGGTGTGTTTTCAAAGACAACTCTCCCACATTAACCTGAAGCTTTCTAGCTGCTGTCCAACACCAATTTATTGCTACATGGAAGATGGATACAACCTCAGAATCCACAGCAGAGGAAAGTTACCCAACCGATCATACTTGGACTGCAAGGAAAGTTTTCCCCCAGGGTGCCCAAGACAGGGCTCAAGCAGCCTTTGAACTTCACTTCCTATGTGATTCCTATGTTCCTCCCTACATACCTCCTGCCACCTGGCACTGGCATTAGCTTAGCAAGCAGTTCACCTGAGGTGTTCCACATTTAACAGAGCTTAATAATCTCCCCTCAGTGGGGCACAGCATCTCAGGGATTACAAAACTCAGGTAACCATGCACAGAACCAACTGCTGCCCAGTCAGAAGTGAGAAGCCATCAAGACATGCAGGTATGCTGTGCAGAGGCAGCAGAGCAGGTTTTACTCTCAACTATGTGTTATGCTTAATTCCAACATCACTAGAGTAACAAGAACAGCTCAGTGCAGCCATCAGGGTAGAGCACAGTTTCCTCGTGGGATACCACTGGCAGCTACATGAAAACTACAATTCAGGACCAGAAAAAAAAAGCATAGAAAACTATCTGACATGCTGCTGAACACCTTCCAGGCGTCATAGTTATTTCATGTTATGAACACAAGCTGTCACATGGAGACAGATAAATAAAGAGCTGTGTTTCTCCAGCACACATTTTATGACATTTATTATTTGTTTTCTTAATTCTGGCTCTCTGGATTTCACATCACAACCAAGGCAAAATGTAATGGAAAACAGACTCGAATGTAACAGTGTTGTTATTACTAACAACAGCTTGCCAGCCTAGAGGACAAGCACTGTAAGTTGCTTTCCCACTGGGCCAGGTAGGGAAAACTTCAGTCAGCTTTTACCAACATCATCTTCATTCCAGACCCCATCCATCAGAAGAGTTTTCTCATCAAACTACTAAGTTTCCAGGAATGTGTACTCTTGCTCCAAAAGGCACATCCCTCCCGCACACTGCAGGTATTTTTGCCAACACAGCTTTCTCTGCAGACTCTCGAGCCTCCCTCCCATCTCTGCGCCCCTGGCAGCTGCTCCCTGTGCCCAGCCTTGTGCCGCAGCGCTCAAACGCTTCCAGACCCTTCCACCTCTGCCCTTCCCACGCTTTTACAGCGCTTCTCCCCTTTCCGCAGCAGCCGCTCACCACCACACAGATAAACACACATATCCATGTATTCGTTTAAGTATTCAAGCCCCTCTTGGCACATTAGACCGCCCAGCTGCCACCGCTCTCCCGCATCCCTGCAGCGCTCGGCAGCGCAGCGAGAAGCTGCTGGCACACACACACACACACACACACACACACACAAAGACACACATAGACAGACACATTAAGGGGATCAGTGTCAGCGTCGCCCAGTGCTAGTGGCGGCTCCGGCCTGCGAGCAGCGGC